CCCCCCCCCCCAGCAAAGGGGAAAGCTCTCTTACCAAGGAAGGTCCTCTAATGGAGGGGCCCCTCTGGCGACCCCTCCCATCAGAGGGGGAGCCAGAAGAAGGACTGAGGGATTAGTCCAACCTCACCTCCCCCCCAGTAGGGGCTGGCTCACTGCAGGATGGTTCAGGGCCATTGGGGGAGGGGTGGGCCTGGCGGGAAAACGTGGGTGGAAGAGAAGGGTCAAGGCAGGAAAATGGGATCCCTGTAGCGTGGCCAGCACCATCTTGGGAGGGGGTGCTGGGTGCACTGCATCTCACCTGGGGAGGCACGGCCAATGCCACCCCTAAGGGAGGATAACAGTGTCCAGCAAGGCGCTTGGGGCGGCTCGGCCGCTGCCATCCCCAAGGCAGGAGGTTTGGGGAAGTCTGTGGGGAAAAGGGAAGGTGAAGATTCGCAGAAGCCAAGGGGGAAAACTACAGGAGAGGGGCCTGACGTGGCTGGAAGCTGACGAAATGCGTGGATGTGAAGGGCCTATCTTAGGATGTTAACAATTCTCCCATAGCTGACGTGTCGCCGTTTACAATTCTGTCCCATTGGTGTCCTTTCGACCCCCCCCTGCCCCCATAGCCCAGAATAGGGAGGAGAGGGTAGAAAAGGCAGCTTTCCGAGAAAGAGAAGGAGCTTTCCAGTATGAGTTACCCCAAAAAGACCAATCAAGGTTGTGTCCTCCTCGGAAAAGAAAAAGCCTCCCGGCCGCCAGAAACATGCAAGGCTACAGGTCCAGTCTGGACACAGACTGTGGTTAAAACTCAAAAAAGAAAAAAAGGTAGCCCAACCGCCCGCCAGGGTCCCACCCTGCTCTGACCCAACTTACCCTCCGGGCTCGGGCAGTGAAATCTCTATCTCTCTCCTTGGTGGTGGAAAATCGCGCTGAACTGAGGACGTATTCTTTCGCGGTTTGGCTCTCCCAGAGGCCTGGGTGTTCCTGTTAACCCAGAGCTCGCCCCTGAATCTCTGGGTTCTGCCACTGTGAGCCTCTGGTCTCCATTCAGAAGCCGTTCCCTGACAGGCCACTCTTCGAGCTCAGTCCACTGAGCCACTGCCAAACTCTCCTCTTTGTCCTCGGGTAAATCTACACAGCTCCCGGTCCCTGCAGTCCGGCTGCCCCCGCAGCACGGCTGCTCCCGGGCAGGTAGAGAGCACGCCGGCGAGGACAGAAGAGGGTCCCGGAGCTTCGGGTTTGTTTTCCACCCGGAAGTCAACTCCTCTTAGCGTGTGCAGAGCTCTTACAGCGGCAGAGTTCCTTTCTCTCTCCCCCTTTTCACAAATTGACGGAAATAGCCATCTTCTGCTACCATTTGTTGCCATGCAAGACTGGCTCCGGGCGGGCGCTGGCAGGACACAGTGGGAGGAGGGGGGAGAGGCAGCGCCGCTTTTCCCCTTCGACTCTGCGAGGCTCAGTTCTAGCACGGGAACAGATGAAATAGCGACACGGGGCTCGGGGGCAGACACGTGTTTATTGTGGGAGCGTGTTCCCGAGACCACCGGGGCACCGACCCCATGGGTCGGTTATACCCCGTGCTGGGGGAGGGGGGAACCTGAGCCACGGCCAGTGCGGATGGGAGGTAGGGGCAGGGAAACACCGGGGACAGTGACGGGAAATGCGGGGGGGCAGAGACCGGACCGCGTGGCAAAGGGGAAGGACAAGGGAACGCAGGAACAGGACAAAGGACTATGGGAGGGGGAGGGGGAATGGGGGGGGAAGAAGAGAAAATTACAAACCCCGCAATACCCATTGTTCTGAATCTGCAACAAAGACACAAGTAAACAGGAAAATATCTATGCCTGGGCACAGAGTGCTGCAGAATGAGACCTCCAGCAGATGTAATTTCACCATGGTTTGTATTTCCCCTCGTATTGTCCCTTGGCTTGTTTCTCTTACACATGGTCTTCTGCACCCAGGCATAGCTTCTCTCCCTCTCCCTGTTCACAAGGGCTCACACCACTCATTGTTCTTCCTGCTGTCCTGCTTTACCCTCAGAAGAGGGAAGAACAAGCTGCACATGGAGCATGGCTGACTGACCAGGTCTCCAGGGATTTCTGTTAGACCTCAGGGCTGGGATCACTACAGCCCAGCTGACTCTTGGCCCTGACCACCACCAACTCTTACTGTTGTATTTCTTTAGACCAGTTTCCTAAGGAAGGCAGGCTTGTAGAAACATGGCTTTTTGTTCAGTCATCTCATGCTCACTCCCTCAGCATCCATAAAAAATAAAAGCTATTAAAAATTGTCCTAGTTGCACATGTTTACCAGAGAGGGGACAGAGAACTAAATTCCTATCAGGTTTATGGTAACATCTGGCAGGGGTGGAGGACAACCACCCAGAGACCCTGTGCTGCTGTGTGATCTCTGCATGTATGGAGACCTGGGGAAAGCCCATGGTATCTCTGCCCTCTCCTCTACTTTGAGGCTCGTGTGTAAGGACATATTTTCCTAGTGATATCCCTCTCTTCATGGTCAAATTGCTGGCATCTTTTTCTCCTGCTGCCTCCCCTGCCCAGCCCAACCCAGTAGGTAAATCCCTGTCCCTACATGTGACTGATAGAACCAGAAACATGCCTGGGATGGCCCTGTGCCAGCTGGATAGAGAACTGGCCTGGAGGCAGTGAAGGCTGAGACCTGCCACCCTGCCACAGTGCAGCCACAGACAGGACATTTGTGAGCTCTGCAGCTCATAACTGAGGTAGGTTTGGCAGCAGCCTGGCTGAGAAGCACAGGACAAACATGAAGGAGCTTTTACCCAGTGTACAGCTTGGGTTCTTTCCAGCCAGACAGAGGCAGTCTGGCTGCCTCTAAGGAGTGTCCGTGCCTTTGGATTGGAGACTCTGTGGCTCTTCCTCAAAGGTGCAAGAAAGAGAAACCTGATCATGGCACAGTGAGACCCAGCCTGGAGTCAGCACCTTGTTCCTGGACTGGCATTGATGGAAACACTGGGTTTCACCACAGGAGAGTCTCAGTCTCCCTGGCAGAGAGAGGCCCATGTGAATGGCTCAGGAGCTCCCTGAGGTCTTTGTGTGGGAGGTAAGGCTCCTAGGCACTCTCTGTGCTTTTGGGACTGCACAGCCCTTTCCTCTGCTGCTCACAGGCAGGTGAGCAACCTTGTCAGGCTGGGGCTGTGCCTTCCTCCAGGAAGCAGCTGGCAAAGCGCCTGGGTAGAGGGACAGGAAGGGACACAGCTGTGGCACAGGAACTGGCCTCTGTGCAGGGACGAGCATCTCAGTGAGCCACTGGATGCCGCTGCAGTGAGGCTAAGTGCAAAAAGCTCTTCCTTTTGCACTGAAGAGCCCCCAGACAATTTGACTTTCTCGCCTCCCCTGTCCCTGGCTGCTGAGGGGAGAAATGCTATACAAGTCTGATGGGAAAGTGTCAAGCTTTGGACATGACACTTCAAGACATCTGTCCTGTCCCTTCACCAGCTCCCCACCCCAGCTATCCGGATCGTGTTTACCCCTAGGGCAGGATTAGCTGCAGAGAAACCACGAGTGAAGAAAGGCCACTGACAAGCTAAGGATTGCTGGCAAACAGAAACCAACCAGCAGCAAATAGAACAGACTGTGGGGGAAGTGCCCTTAAAGTGTCTTAAAGCAAGGGAAGGACCCTCCAAGACATCTGCACCCTGCAACACCACTTCTCCTGGCAGCTCTCCCCAGTGGCAGTGACATTAAAAAAGTGGAGCATAGGCTCAGTGGCGGATACTCACGGGCTGCCCATTTGGGTGGGTGTGGAGCTGAAACACGCTGGAGAGGGGCTGTGGCGCCGTTCTAGGAGCCCAGCGGTTCCGCGGCTGCTGCCGGTCCTGTGCTGGCTGGTGTCACAGCCTGTTTTGTCACGTGCAGATAGTTATCTGCTTTCTCTTTCGTTTCTGAGGGCAGTGCTCTTTCCCGATAGCGAGTCAGCTGCAATGACCAAGAAAACAAGCCCAGCTCCGCAACCTGAGCCAGGGTCAGGCTTGCGTTTCCTTTCCTTCTCCCTGCTGCGCTAACCAGCACGAAAAGCTCGCCAGGCTAAGCGCACCCCAGATTGTTGTGCTGTTCGAGTAGCCTGGGTGTCCATGAAAGCTTAGATGAATTTGTTTAGTTTTGTTTGGATACTTCTTTAGAGGTGACTGACCATCCCAGGGTGGATCTCAGTCCCTCAGCACTGCCGGAGTTCACTGCCAAACATGGCCCTTCGTACACTTAGGACGCTGATCGCTCCCTCCCTCTGCTTCCCAGACACAGCGTCGCCCGAGTTCCTCGCCTGCAGCAACCGAGTTATGTAAGGGGCAAAACTCTCCTTCCTATAGTCCTCCTGGGCCAGTCTGGGACTGTTTGTCCTACTAGCAGTCTTTGTTAGGAGGGCTGTGTGCTGGGGGTTGATGCATGAAGGACACATAACCGTGAAGCTGTTCACAGATTTTCACCTCATAATTCCATGCTTAGGCATGGTCTGGAACTGCCCATGTGGTACACATGTTGTGAGCCTGTAATACTGGCACTCACATCCAAGAGCACAAAGCAAGTGGAAAGAAATACAGGAGGAAGTCCTAAGAGAAGCTCAGTGGACAGAGGCATGCAAGTGGTGGTGGGGGGGATGCCTTCCTATGTGCCTCTGTGCGTGGAATAACTTCAGCATGGAGAGGGACAAGGGTCTGGATCAAGGGAGTTCAGATCATGGGTGGCTCAGGCAGGGGTTCTGGTGGGTGGGGACAGAAATCTTGCAGCAAATGAAGTTCAGCAGTCCAGAGCTGCTGAGTTGAAAGTGGAGAAGGAAGCCTTGGGGCTGAACATGGCCATCTTCTAGCACTGGGGCTGATGGCTAGGAAACTGAGGAATAAGAGACTTCTGAGGCAAGACCTCTGTTGCAGTGCAGTAACATGCTTTGGTAGGAGGCATGTTTCTGCTCCCAGGAAGGGGGGGGTCTTGCAGTTTGGCAACATGATGTTAATTTTTCTGTCATTCAGGGAGAAAAAGGGTATATAATTTTGATCTGGTGGTCAACCAGCTCCTTAGCTGATCTCAGCACCACAAGTGAAGCTGCTGTATCACTGCCATGGGCAGAAGGCACAAGCAGCTCCTTCAAAAATATCCTTGCTTTCACACTGGGGTCCTGTTTGCTGGGGTAATCAGGATGACTGCCACACTGAGTCTGCTCTGCCACGCCAGAGCATTTCTCCCTGGAGCCACTGTCCCCCTAGAGGAGCGGCTGTTCCAACACCAGCACTCCATGTAACCTGACATTGCTTCCACTGGGCACACAACCTTCCTTTTTTGGCTTTTTTTCCCCAAGAGAAGATCCCTGTTCAGCCAAGCTGCTCTGCTACCTCATCTGCTTGACTTCCAACATTTTGGAATTGCTGGCTACTGTGCCCTTTAGGAGGTTATGTTTAAAAAGTTTGAATGTTTAAAATACACCATTTGGGAATGCTACTCTTGGAGTGTGGCATCTCACTGGCCAGAGCTGGTTGCCTGATTGTGCACCTGTGGCAGAAGCACTTTACAGTTTTTCCTGAGGAGCTCCATGTCTCCTCCCTGGCAGGGTCTCAGTCTCTGCTGCTTTTAATGCCTCCTAGGATACCACAGCTGCAAAAAGGGAGAAGTCCAGTCAAAATTTGACTCAAGACTTGACCTTGGTCCCAGCTGACTTTCTGATTCTGGAGCCTTCCTTCCACACCTTTGGCTGCTTCTCTAGCAGGTAGTTCCCCTGCCTTCTCCTTCCAGGTATTTCGTCAGGGAAGATTGTGCCCAAAGGCTGGGCAGGATGCAGTAGGCATTTCCATTCTCCTTCCTGGGAACCTTTTACAGGTATGCTCTGACTGCCTTTTGGGCTTTCAGTGCCAAAGTCTGATGATGGAGCAATTGGGGAAGATAAGTATGATGGGTATGAGGTGAGCAGGGGAATGATCAACATGTCTCATGGAGAAAGAATGGGAAGGGGGAGAAGAAAGAGAACAGGGCTTCTACCTGTGTGCCTTGAAGTAAGAGAGACTGGATGAAGTGTTTGGGCTGCTGGGTCCTGTTTTCTGTGGATGGGAAGGAGAGCAGGTTCCAGGAGCCAGCTTCTACTAAATTCCTATGTGAGCGTTGCTTCCTGGAATTGTTTCCTGAAGCGGACATATTTTTTTTGCATGCATTAAGAAGGTTTATGTGGTTTTAAAATGGAATTAACTGCTCTGCAGTTCTTGATTTCTCCTTGTGCAGTTAAAGCACACTCAGCAGTTTAGTAATATTACTTAGGAAAGCGTGAGATGAACTGGGACTTCGCAAAATTTTTTGCTGATTTTACTCTCCTGTTTTAAAAGTAAACTACTACACTTTATCCCAAATATGATTCTGCGGGATAATACTCTAGTCTGGCTATAAAACACAGAAACAAAATAATAAAACACAGAAGCAAAATATTAAGAGCCGGGATATTTATTTATTTGTTTAACTTCCTCTAAGCAATGCCAATTCTGGGAAAGCCTAGAAGAATGTTATGAAGATCTGTTATGTTTCTCCCCTTGGTTACAGTACATAATATCTAAGAATGAAATCTGCAGCTGGGGGAGGAAGTGCCAAGCCTGCAAAAAACATTTAAAGAGACATTCTTTATTAATCTCCTCTTTGGCAGGCAAGCTCTTACTGATCATAACACTGCAATGTGCTCAACTGTACCGTTCTTAAATTGTACTTGAACTCTACTAACTGGACTGCCTGTCCCACAGAAGACAATTACAGTTGTAATGGTCTGTGCCCAGACCTAGAGGCTAGGAAAAGGGGCTCACTTTTAAGTTCATCTCTCCCTGCATACTGTGGGTGGCTGATATGTCTTTTTTTCTCAAGAGCTGGATCTCCAGTGCCTTGGCTGGTGTGACAGGCACAGCCCCCACACTGATGGCAGCTGAGGACCACATGTTGTCAAGTGCCCAAATCAGTGCTGCAGGCCAGGCCCCTGGGCTCTCTCTCTCAGCATGACCTGACCCAGCAGATGTGTCTCAGCAGCTGGACATGGGCCAGGTTAGCTGCAGCTGGCTTTAGTGCTGCACTGCAAACACCTCCCCTCACAGAACCACTGGGTGAGGTCCATGACCAACAGGTGAGATGAGCCAGGTCTGACAGTGTATGGGGTGGTGTGTCCCTTGAGAAACAACGAATATTTACAACATTTTTTTAAAACCTTTTATTCTAAGCAAAGAGGTGGATGTTACAGTTGCTACTGAATTTCATTAATAATATTTAACCCAATGAGCACATTATTACAAATGCAAGTGCCCTACTAACAATAGGAGAAAATATTTTTTAACCTCTCTGGAATTTGCCTTGGGTTTATTTTTTCCCCAGTGAGATTGTTGTCAATCAGTAAATCATAGTGTAGTAATGTGATGAAGACAGTTTAAATTACAGAAAAATTAGCTCTTCCAAATGCTGAGATTGAAGGAAATCCAGCCAAAGAACTCCATACTTATCTTTGTGGAACATACTCCTTATTGAGGTTTGAGGTTATATAAAAATGGCTTATTGCTATTTAAAGAATCAAAAAAACTTGTAATATTTACTTTTTTTCACTGGCTGAGGTACTGAATACTGAATACTGAAATATCTTAGGTTGAATATCAGTACCTTGAGTCTGTGAAACAGAGTAGTGCCTTGAGTTTCTGAAAAACAATAGCAAAAGGAATGAATTATTATGACTAACAAGTTCCAAAAGACTGGTTGACAAGAAGGTATTATCTATCAGTCAGCCACTTTAGGGGCTGTTCAGGGAGTGTTCATCAGGCTGGGACAGAGGAATCTTGGTAAGAGTTCAATAACAAATGGGGAAACACTTATCATGTAAAGGCTGGTATTTTTCTTTTGGTGACAAAATTGTTGTGTAAAATTTTTTTTGTGACAAAATTGTTTTGGTGACAATATTGTTTGTATATTTTCATATATCTATCTCCGATCAGAAAAAACCCAACTTCCACAGCATGTTCCTCCCGGGATGAAAAATACAGGTATTTTTGCTTTTATGACTTCTGTTCTTAGCTATGCCGTGAAAATGTTCTCCTGATATTTTAGGGTGTTTTTTTATGGTGTCTTGGTAACCATTTTGATTCGTAAGGGAATATTACAGTTACAAATTAAAAAAGCCCCATCAAACCAAACCAACAATTGTAAATAAACATGATAATCACAATGCCAGAAGGAGTACATGTAAAAAAGCTGCTCAAGGTTGAATCGGTTATGCTGTTCTTTTCAGCAAATATTTGCGAACCTGGATACAAACATATCATATTGGCAAGGGAGGTCACTTCCTACTCAGTATGGCTTGTTTATTTTTAGTCTGGGAACTGGACAGCTATGCTTTCACAGTAGTATGAATTGCCACTGCTCTGTTTTTCATATGTTTGGGCTTCTGAAAAGAAGAATTGGCATAAAATGCAAAAAGTCGAGAAATGCTGGTCTACCTCTTGAACCAATGAAAGCATTAACAAAGCAGTCAGCATTATAAAGTGTATGTACATAAAAAGAATATTGCCCATTAAAATATCAATGTGACTTCTTTCCAAATAACAGTTTGCTTTCTCCAGGTAACAATAACAGTGCTCCTTGAGGCCATATAGTTTTCTAGGCTGAGCGTCAGCAAAGTGTCATTGAGGGCTACATATAGCTCCAGCATGAATTTCTGTCAAAAATTGTACTGCAGCTGTGATATTCCTTGCTATTCACTTCTTTTCAAATGCCTTTAACAACTTTCATCAGGATCAACGACAGAAATTTTGTTAAGAGTCTTTTGATCTATTAAACTTACTTAGTCACTGAAGGAGATCCACATGGGAAAATGCACATACATAACCATGAGAGGAAGAGAAGAAGTTTCTTGAAGGGATCATGATCAATTTGATAAACTGT